TATTTGACATGGTGTGTCGCCAACCAGATGTGATTCAGCCCTTGTGAGGATGTACGTCTGTCTCGTGAGATCTCCTGCGTCAAACACTCACTTCATCGATCGGCTTCGCACTGTTTGACGACATGGGATGTTATGACTGTCCTGGTTCACGTGTTTCTTTGACAAAAGCTATTTTAACCTTAAATGTTAATGAAATGGGAATTTCTCCATTGTTGGGAATTTCTCCATTGTGAGACAAATAAAGGGTTTCTTATCTTATCTTAATTACTTTTCTTTATTTACTTAGCTACCTTTTACCATTTGAAGTTTATCAGTGATCCCAAGTATAGATAAACATACAGTACTGTATACAAGACTTTATAGCCCGAGGTGTGCACACTGCTGACATATTGATGTTGTCTTCCTGTTATGACTAAAACATCAACCTGGAGGCCAGCTTGTCCGGGAGATAACATCTGGGAACATTCAAGGTCGACTTTGTGGAACCAGTAAAGATTTTATTTGGTTTTTATGACTGGATTTTAAGTCACCAAACACACACAGACACAATGTAAACAGGGTGAAAAGTACAAAGGGACACACTGTGTTTGTGTCCGTGTGTGTGTGTGTGTGTGTGTGTGTGTGTGTGTGTGTGTGTGTGTGTGTGTGTGTGTGTGTGTGTGTGTGTGAGAGAGAGAGAACTTCATGACCTTGTGTGTTTTTAAAAATATATAATCATTAACTATTTCTTTAATGCAACAAAACTGACAAAAAACGGGTGATGATGAATGATTGAATCAGGATGTTAAAAAATATAATTTCACCACCCCAAACCCCCCCCCCCACCCCCCAAAAAGGAAGCGGAGGTTCGGGGGGTGGGTGAAGGCGTGCCATTGAAACCAATGAAAATGCTCTATGCGCATGCCTTATTTGGAAAGGGAGGGCCTGCCTTATAAATTACATTCGTTCAGGAGAAAGTTACAGACATCGTCAACCCGCAGGCAAAATAGTGCGCGGAACGTGACACCAGGTGACCTAACTGTTGTTGTTTTTTTCATTACTAACCTGCTTTTTGTGAGTGCTGTACTGCGCCGTCATGTTTCCACAAGGTAACCAATGGTAAGTCATCATTAACTTATTGAACATCTCTCTTAAATAATAATTAAAAAAAAAAAAACAATAATAATTAAAAAAATAAATACATAAATAAAAAAGGTTGTCCTCAGAGCGCCAACTAATTACTTTAGCAATACAAAACGTGACAGACCTGTTTTGGTAGTCTAAGTTGTCTGTAAGTTTTGCTCTGACCAACCTATAAGTGGATGGAAAACTGTTGATGTCACCTTTTTGAATTTTCGAGGATGAAGTTGAAATATGCCTGGTTAAGGAAACAGCACTATTGGTGATGTAGTTTGTTACTATGACCAAAAGTTTGATTGGACCAAAATAAATAAATAAAAAACGTCAACATACAGTTCCATGCACTGCTAGTGTCAAACTCATTTTTGTGTGGCCGAGATTGTAATTCTGGTGGCCTTTGTGACTGAACCCAAATGTATGACCCACTCATATCACACATACACACAAAAAGAATGAATAGCTAGTTTTGAAATCTGAGCGCGGTAAAAACTGTTTTTTCAAGTATTATTCCATTTATTTTAAAAGGGGGATAGATGACAAAAAAATGCTTGCAGTATCTCAACAATTTTAAAAGTGAGGACAATTTGCAAATTTGTTATTTTTGCAAGAAACATGAAGTCGATACACGCAATATGCTTTTGTGGGCAACATAAAATGATGGGGTGGGCGGATCTGGCCTCGAGTTTTGACACCACTGATATACTGGAAGCGTTTCAACCAAGAAAAAAGTCATGCAATCTATAGAATCGGCTGTTGGGCATAAATTAATGCAATTTCATGGCCCAAATATTCAAATGTACTGCAGGTAACATTTGTTGTTCGGTGCTTCTGATAGTGTTTTATTCCTACTATAATTGTAACGTGATGTAGTATTACTTGATTACCCTTTACACGAGTAAAACTGAACACGATCAATACAGTCAAGTGATGTCATATATTCATGATAATGGCGAGGGAATGGGAAGTTACATGTCAGATTCTTCCGGTGCTGCAGCTACACTTACGAGGACTGCAAGGCCACAGCTGATTGGCTGCTGACCCAGACCGATGTGCGGCCTTCCGTCGGCATTGTGTGCGGCTCGGGCCTAGGTGGGCTGGCGGAGATGTTGAAGAACCAGGTGGCGTTCAACTACAAGGACATTCCCAACTTCCCGCAAAGCACAGGTGAGTCCAACCAGCCTCTTCCGCCACGCAAGGGTCCCGCCGGAACCTTGGCTGAGTTTCTGTTTGGTCCCGTACAGTGCACGGACACGCTGGACGACTGGTTTTCGGAACACTGAAGGGGCGATCATGTGTGTGCATGCAGGGCCGCTTCCACCTGTACGAGGGCTACCCCATCCAGAAGGTTAGTTGGCATACACACTACTGGAATATCTCAGTGTCCCCAAACCTAAGCCCATTGGCTGCTCTTTGTTGTGTTCAGATCACGCTGCCCATGCGGATCTTCAAACTGCTGGGCGTGGACACGGTGATCCTGACCAACGCGGCAGGCGGTCTCAATCAGGACTTCAAGGTGGGAGACATCATGATCATGAAAGACCACCTCAATATGCCAGGCTTCGCTGGGAACAACCCACTCGCCGGACTCAACGACGATCGGTAGGACACCGATTTCACACAAAAGCACGAAGCAACCAGCGCGATGCTGAAGCGTGTCAACTGCAACGCAGGTTCGGCGTGCGCTTTCCGTGCATGTCCGACGCGTACGACCGAGAGCTTCAGCAGCTGGCCATGGACGTGGGGCAGGAACTGGGCTTTGGGGACTTCCTGAAAGAGGGCGTCTATTGCGTGCTGGGCGGGCCGTCTTTTGAGACCATCGCCGAGTGCAGGATGCTGCATAAACTCGGCGCTGATGCTGTCGGTGAGTTGCACGAGATTATCAGTTTCCCAGAGGTGGGAGCAAGTCATATGTGAGTCTGAGGTCTTAAAGCTATAATGCCATTTGTATCATATTTGATACATGCATTTTCATTATGTAACTTTCTTTATATTACAATGAATCATCTGTATCAAATTTGATACTGCAGATTTTAAATATGATTTTCCCCAAATTTTCTTTTTCAGATGTAATCTACATAATGCTTATAAATGGGATACGACAAATATCTAAAACAAAATATGGCAATAATATTTTTCTGAATTTTGTTATAAGGGTTAAAAGAACATCTCAGCTCCCAAAAATCTGATTTTTCTGGCTATTCCTTGATGGGTCAGGCATTATCTTCAAGTCACAAGCATGTGCTAAGTGGTAAAAGTCAGTCGAATCAAGTCATTTCAACTTGCTCAGTCACAATACGGAGTAATAAATGAATACCGAGTCAAAGTCCGAAGTACGACTTAATGGAAAACTAATCCTACCCCGCTTATTCCACGACTACAGTATACATCAGAATATCTTGATCCGACTAGTGCTTGTTGTTTAGTTCTCCTTTCAGTCTGACGTGTGTCCAGACATGTGACTTGAATCCCCCCACACTGTTACTTCCCGAGCTAACGTCTCCCTTTCCCACGCCAGGCATGAGCACAGTCCACGAAGTGATCGTGGCCCGACACTGCGGCATGCGCGTCTTCGCCCTGTCGCTGATCACCAACCAGGCGGTGATGGACTACGACAGCGAGGAGAAGGCCAACCACGAGGAGGTCCTCCAGACGGGCAAACAGAGGGCGGAGCAACTGGAGCAGCTCATCTTCACCATGGTGGCCAGGATGGAGCACAACAACAATGACGCCTGAGCCATCTTGCCTTGTTCACAAGGTCAAACTTCCATCCTGTTCCATTCCTACGTCTGATATTCTGTTGCGTGTCCTCGCTATATTATTTATATGTGAACAGCAGATCAACATGTACAAGTGTAATTGAAGTCAAACAGTTTTTTTTTGTTTTTTAATTATTTTTAATAAAGGTTATTTATTACTACACACTGTGTGACTTTGATTGGCTTTTACAATGCGTGTAAACAGGAAGTTCTTAAGTGTTACAAAAGTGTTATTTTGTTGTTCCATTAAAAATGCAGACACATGCACGACATCATAAGTGCTCGAAAAATGGCGACGAGTTTGGCACAAGAAGCAAAGATCAAAGCTGTGTCTACACTTTGAACCCCGACAGCGATGTATGTTTGTCAAGGGCTTGGCCTGAAGCACAATGGCGTAAATGTACAAAAAGGTGAATATTGGCATCCCATGCTGGTCCACACAAGATGGCGGCGAGGTTACAAAAGGCTAAACTAACTTCCGCCACGGGACAGGTGTCACAGTGGAAGTCTGCAGGCCGCTAAACGCCTGCCAAAAAGTCTAGCTACGGTATGCTTCAGGCTAAATGTGTTGGTTCATGTCATTTTGGCTTAAAATCCATATCGTAATCGTCCTTTTTCTCTACTTTTAAAATATATTACAAGTGCTTTCGCAAAATCCCTTCTTAACATACTGTACCGTATTTTCCGCACTAAAAGGCGCACCTAAAAGCCTTAATTTCTTAAAAGCTCATAGTGCGCCTTAAAATCCGATGCGCCTTGTGTATGGTCATTACGGTAATATTTCGACGCCACAATGGCGCCTTGCTCGAGACACGCTGACAACGCAGAGTTCAAACTTAAGGCGATCGGTTACGCAGTTGAACATGGAAATAGAGCAGCGGCAAGAGAGTTCACTTTTACCAAGTCAATGTGATAACTTGCTGTTGGTTAAGTGAACTGTGTCGCTGTTTTATTAAATAAGTTTTACTGACATCTGATCGTTCTGTTCGTAGTTCCTTGAGCGTAGCTCCATTTAGTGGATGCATTGTAGATTGCGTCTTATAATGCGGTGCGCCCAATGTATGAAAAAAATTACAAAATAGGCCATTCATTGAAGGTTTGCCTCATAATCCAGTGCGCCTTTTAGTGTGGAAGATACGGTACTGTAAATTGAGCAATAGTTGCAGACTCCAAAATTTTCCATGTCTTGTGATTCCAAATGCAGTTTGCCGTTAGCAATATTAACGTCTCTAGTAAAAATGGGGACATCGGGGTTTAAAAGGATGAAATTTTAGGATGAACCTAAAATGCATCACGAGCTTGATCAAAATTTTTTTTTTTTGTCACGCATTTTCGGTGCGTCTGGAATTTTCAACTGAAACCGTGATGCATGAGGTGACTAAATATCGAAATGGTTTTCACAGTCGTAACAGTCCAAAAGGAAGCCGATTACTACGATGTGGCAAAAAAAGGAATTTGACACCCTTGCTCCGTCGTCAGCAACGTGCCAGCCTGACGCAATGTGGTGATGAGGCCGAGGCGTCAGAAGGCACCAGACACGCCGTTCCACTGACGTCTAGGCGAACATGGTGAGGGAGAGCCACTGCAAGAAACAGGAAGTGGTGACACATGAGGAAGTCAGCAAAATGTTCGGACATTTCCTGTTACCTGGGAGAAGTTGAGCGAGATGAAGCCATCTGTGTCCGTGTCCATGACCTTGAACGTTTCTGTCGAAACAACGAGCCAATGAACATTTCTGTCGAAACAACGAGAACGGGCGAGGCGGGGGACTAAGGGGAATGGAGTCACGGATAAAACTCACTGAACATGGACTCCAAGCGGACCAGACATGTGACGAAATTGTCAAAGTCGACGGCCATGTCTTCCTCCGTGTATCGCAGGATGATGAGCTGGAACAGGTGATTGGTCAGCTTGAAGCCTGCGGCGAGGGGGGGGCAAAGGTCAGCACGCCCGTGACTAGTCATCTCGCACGCGCACGGCGACGCGGCTCACCTGCGGACTCCAGCGCCATCCTCATCTCATAGGAGCTCATGCTTCCCGATTTATCCAGGTCGTAGTTCCTGAATATGGTCTGCTCAAGGCAAGGAGAGTTCATGTGATTCCAGAGTGACCTGTGTTTGTGTGTGCGTGCGAAAGTTTACCAGGTAGCGTTTTATTTTCTCCCACAGAACATGGAACTCGACCAGGCCCAGCTTCCCACTGCCATCCGTCTGCCAAGGTGTTGAGGAAACCAAAGGGGGCACGGGGGGGAACTTGAATCACATGATTTGACTTCAGAACCAAAAGGGAGACGGGAGAGTCCCCAGCAAAGACGGCGACAAGGATACGTCCATGAGGTTGATCATGCTGCGACACGCCTCCTTGGTGAAGCCGTCTGTCTTCAGGTCTTTGTCTGTTGCCATGGTAACTATTTTTACATCTGTTCGAGTGAGTGGAAGGGGGCGCTGATTATGTACTTACGCTTGCTGATGATACGGTTCAGGATGGTTTGCAGCTCGTTGATGCTGATCTCCATGTCCTTCACGCCGCACGCGCACGCGCACACACACACACACACACACACACACACACACACACATACATACATACATACATACACATACATGCGCGCGCGCACACATACACACACACACACACACACACACACACACACACACACACACACACACACGCACACACACACACACACACACACACACACACACACACGAGACAACAGTAACGCCTTTGTCACGTCAAAGCTCAGACGTGAAACAGAAGCACAAAGGAGCATGTGCTTACAGGGCCAGCCAACTGTCGGAAGAGACTCTTGAAGCCGGCCTCAATCTGGCTCTCGTCCAAATAGTTCTACAGGGAGAAGAACAGCCGTGATGCCAAGATGGCAGCGCGACGAGGAACACACGAGTGGTGCCTTTGCCCATGGCAGACTTTCAAAAATGTGAATATTTGTTCCTTGAGAGTGTATTATTGATTTCCCAAAGCCTATTTTTTTACTTTTGTGTTTCTCTTGGCTTAATGTCTTATTTTGTTTGACCAATCGGGTTTTAGCCTCTGTGTCACACTGTTAAAAATTAAAATTAGCGATGGGGCAATTTTTTTTCTTAACCAAATTGCATCTCGGGTGTATTGTTATATTTTTGCTCCAGATAATATGCTGGGAACAGTTGATTGTATATTGCATTTTTGTACAGTATTGATGGCTTCTATCATTGCAACATGATATCGGTGGTAGTAGGAGGGGGATTGAGTCGCCACTGAACGCTCAGGTACCAAATACCCAGCTCGCCACTGTGCTTTCCTCACCTCACTTGGAAGATCCGCTACCACGTCATCATCCAGCTCCCTGAAAGGCAAAAAAATAAAAAATAAAAATCCACGTTCGTGAGCAGCCAGGTTTGCAAGGATGTACCGGTCACTCACTCTGAATCGGCAGGCTTCTCGGAAAAAACCCGCAGGACGAAGTCGGCCTCCTTGTGAGGCTCGAAGGTGGATGGCACGATGACATATTCGCCGGCCGGTAGACGAAGACGCGAGCTGACCTCCCTCAGGTTGATGAAGAGTTCGGAGCGGGCGCTGGAGGCGTGCGTCAGGAAGAAGTTCTGCTTCAAGTGGACCCGCGTCTGCCCTTTAGCCTGAGACGCAAATCGGTTACCAACCTCCGTTCTGTTTTGTTGGAAAAAAGCCTGATTGGAAAGCTCATACCTCACTGGGAACCTGGAAATAGAGGACTTGATGAGATCACAGAACAGGAAGTACTAACAAGAGCTTTGCGGGCCGACACCGACCTCATAGACGGCGAAGCCGATGGTCTCCATGTCTTTGCCCTCCCTCCGCTTCTTCCTGCGGTCCTTCTGCATCAGCGCCACCAGAAAGCTGCAGTCCGACATGCCAGGCGCGTCGGGATGCTGCAGCAGCAACTTGAACTGCGGATTCAGCCAAAAGGTCGCTGGATGGAAGAGGTTCGAGGTCAGGCCAGTGCTCCAAACAAACACTTTTCCCGTGTCTTTCCTTACCCGGATAGTTCCGGCAGCCTCCGGCTGTGCTGCCTCGTCTCCACTCGCCCGGGTACAGCGATGTACTCCAGGATTTCATCTGGCTGTTCTGGAGGGCGTCGGCTGTCAGGTTGCAGATTTCCAACCGGGTGAACTCGCGCAGGAAGTCGCTGAAAGACATCCTGCAGGAGGGGAGTGGTTGAGACGAACCGAGGGGATAGAAAAAAAAAAAAACGACCGTGCTTTATGGAAGGAAAGTGAAGCGGACTCACCAGAATTCGCCGTCCTCGCTGCGGTTTTGGAGCCTAGCACGGATTCCACGATCAACATTGTCCCATTCTCGAGAACTGCAAGGAAAAAGATTCAAGTGAATGGAAACCACAAGCAGGGAATTCTTTGTAATGTCCGCTTATATTATCAGCCCTCCCACCCCTTCCCCGACTCTCATTTGAGCGCCAGGCTTCACATGTTTACATGAGGCACGTTTTCCAACAAGCGTGTGTCTCACTTGTCGCTCCAAGCGCCGGTCCACTCCACTTCCCCCCACGGGTTCCGGATGCGGACAAGCTTGGTCGGGTTTCCACGGAAGACCACCTAAGAGACACGTTGGAGCGTGGTCACACTGCACGGAGACACACACCACCATCACCGTGACGTTCTCGCACCTCGTCCAAGCCCGTGACTGAGTAGGCGTGTCCCTTGACCAGCTTTTTGAAGGTGACCGCCTCCATGTCTCTGGAGCTGCTGATCTGGTATTTAAAAACAACAAAGGGGGCAGTAAGTCAGAAGTGCTCACCTTCCACTAAAGTCAAGCATTTCAATTCCAGCCCACCGTTCATTTCAAGCCCGTTGACTCAAGTCATTAGTGCAACGAAGGAATAGAGGGAGAGAGCCCCGCCACAAATAGCAAAAATCCACAAGTTACAAAATGAAACTCCTCAAATCACTTCAAAATAGTGCCTCAGCATAAAGACGCCGCCAGATGTTACAAAAGCAACACTGTTGTGTAATGTTTACAAGAGCGGGCTCAATAATATTTTCGACACTACTTATCCTATACAGGGTTGCGTCGGGGGAGTGGCGGTGGGGGGTGGGACTGGAGCCTATCACAGCTGACTTTGGGTGAAAGGCAGACTACCCCCTGAACTGGTCGCAGCCAGCTCAGTGCACACACAGTGACGAACCACCACCCACACATATATCCGCACCGTCTGCCTGCGCACAAGTCGGGCAAGTGCACCACGACACCATCAGGGATAACTCAATTATATTCTACTTTATAAAAAACACCCCACATGGTGGCAGTATAACAAAAAACGATATTCTGTACATAGAAATCTGTATAGTTAAGATGTCTCGGCACTGCTCAGCTCCTCGCGGAAGATAAAGAATATATGACTGTGAGTAGTTATATTGCATATGGGTTGTCTATGTGTTTTGCAAAATGTGTTCCCTTTAGCATTATGATAAACGACTAAAGGTTAAGCTATGTTGTTTTAAACAAGCAATGCGCAATTATCTTTGTATCATGTTTGCCAGGAAACCAACTGGGAGCGGCATTAAACAGTTTGAATACGGTGCATACGTTAATTTAGTGCTTCCTTACAGTATAGCATAAACGTGTAACGAGTGAATATTTAAAAGGAACATACATTTTTTTCGTATTAATGTGAGCGCGTGTGAATGGGTGAACCAGGGGAATTTTGAAGGATGTCACTCAATGAAGTTCAGTCTATGCGCTGGCATAAGAGAACAGAAAGATTTGCCACATCCAATATGGTAGCCACACTGTCGTATTGTAGTATTGGGGCCGCCCCCTGATGGCAGTGTCGACATGTCAATGTTCTGACTCACGTCAATGGAGCAGCCGAGCAGTGAGCCCCTTTCGATGGCGCGGCCCATGATGCTGAAGAGGTCGGAGGGTGGCTTATTCAGCTCGAACATTTCTGTCACGCCGCCGGTGAAGTCTTCGAAGCCTTCGGACGTGCTGCCACCAGACAGCGCCTCGTAGCAGCCGTTCAACCTGGGGCAGGCAAAGTCCACATGTGACTTTGATGGCGCCCGGCAAAGACCTGAGTGGCGACTCGGCGCTCGGCTTACTTGGCGTAGGCCTTCTCGATCAGCGCGCTCCAGAACTCTCCGCCCTCCGCCGAGTGGACGAAGAGCAGCTTGCCGTCCTTGACGGGCAAACGGTCGTCGATCACCACCTCCACCCACTCGCCAAACTGCCAGAACTGTGAACACAGCGATGCTGCATGAGGCCCTTGCCACGATGGCAACAGATGACAAACAACACCATCTTTCGTGCCATTGCTCTTTTGGCCTTCTCCTTCATATTTCCAATTGTGCTTGTCCCTCGTTTGCATCTTCTCGTCGAGTGATTCTCCAAGTGTGGTACCTCTAGTGGTATGTGGGCTCCCTCTAGTGTCATGCGAAAAAATCGCCGCCGAAGAACAGTTCAGTTATATTTACCCTTACAAGTTCAATAATATACATTTGCATTTCATCTTTAAGAACCGATTGTTTGAAATATTTTATTATGTATAATTTTTTATTTAACTTTTCAGGGCAACACATCTTATTAATCATTTAAGCACAGTTTTTTTAATTTCCAAAAATCCACAAATATCTGATGCAAAACAATCACTGCCTAAGAAGAGTTTAGTTGTGCGTTTGACTTTTACATGTTGCATAACAGTTGCTTCATGTTTGTCCATGGGTGCCATAAGATGGCATCAAAGCACGACTTGAATATTAGACAGGGTTTTGGCCTGAGCACAAAAACAGCCAGTAACAAATCTGTGAATTGCAAATATGGGCAGGGACCCTCTACTCCTCCTCTCTACTATAGCTTTGGGCCAATTAAAAGCTCTGTTACGACTGTAACAGATCATAAATCCGCCATCCCGGCAAATAAATAATTCTGATGGCATTTACAGGGAGACATGATAGTTATGTTTCATTAGGGTCCTTGCAAATGTTTTTTCCAATGTAGGGCGGGAAAAAAAACAAACAACTGACTGTATTACCACACAAAGATTACCTGGAAGTGGAAGATTCCAGCATATTCCCGATCAAAGCTCTGTCCATGCGGGACCACTCGGTGTAGGAGGTTGTTATTTAAGGTCAGCGAGGCGATGGCCGCCAGTAGCCAGCAGTCCCCTGTATACGAAGGCACGCACACACAGACGCACGCTATGTCACATGACCAGGCTGAGCATGAAAAACCATTTGAGCACTTACATGACATCCAAATCAAACAGTTTTACATATTTTATTCATCTACAATTAGTACACGCTAAGAGCAGGCAACTACATAGAGTGCAACTAGTAGGGCTTTTCTGTACGCTAGTACAACAACTTGCTAATATAGTAAGAAAGAGTCATTCTAGTCGTGTGTATGCGGACTGGAACTTGTACATGGGCATCAAATAAATGATCAAACGTCTTTCCATAGACTGTATGGAGAATAGTCTATAATTTCACACCCCCTAGTGGTGAGATATGCAGCTGTGTATGTACAGCATGTGTCCGTTGAGCATGGGTGGGGCTTTCAGCTTGTGTCTGAATTCTCAATGTGACATGCGAACATTCCCCACTTACCCAGAGCTCCCTGGCAGATGTCAGTTCGGGTCGCGCCATCCACAATAAAAGCGGGACGCTTGCACAACTCCTGTAGATACACACGCACACACACACGCACACACACACACACACACACACACACACACACACACACACACACACACACACACACACACACACACACACACACACACACACACACACACAGCTATTGTACATGGACTTCGCTCATTGCCATGGAAAATCAGTGTTTCCCAAATTTTACTGAGCCACACCGACAAAAATGTCAAAAAGGTGGCTATGATTGTTAATTACAGTGAGAAACCTTCCACAACTTAGTGGAAGAGCATTTAATTGTTCTGGATGGCACTACAGTATATGTCGCTGATATAGATGTATGAACAGATATACATTAGTTGCAGTTAATAGCACAGTGGTTGGGACTCACTGATGGAGATATCATAAAGTCGCTAAGATAAAGGGTCGCCCACGTCAATAGTACCAGTAACTTTTTTTGTCATTGCAAAGATCAAAACAGGTTTGTTCAGTCAAAGAGAAAGGTCTGAGAAAGATAAATGATTGGTGTCGTGCGATTGAACAATCTTGTACGTATGTCTCACTTCAAAAATTCCCATCTACTGGATGAGGAAATACCCAACACCATATCAGAGGAAGCACTGTTCTGTTAGCTGTATGGCTAACTTTAGCATCAGGCTAACATATGAGGGCCGGCTGATTTTATATTTATAAACAGATTCTATATTTTATAAGATCTATTTCTGAAAGCGCTGCATGCTAGCGCTTGTGTGTGCGCTGAGTCGAAACGCAGCTAAAAAAAGAGAGCGCCTATTTGTGTCATCGCACACGTGCGCATGGTTGACTTCACATTTACATTTGAGCGCATACGTGTGTGTTGAAAGTGCCGTGTGCGGGAAGCAACGCGGGACGCACAATCACGGCTCCATCGTAGCATGCACGTCATGCTAACATGCAATACGATGAGCACGCTACTGTTGTACTTAACATGTGAGGGAAGCACGTCAGAAACTAAGTTGTTTGTGTGACTCCTCGAACAGCTAAAAAACACTGAATTAAATGTGCGCATATTGTTAAAGTGGCCTCAACTTTTTTTCAGGACATTTGTTAAGTACAGTTCTGTTGTATTTAACTTTGAAATAAAATCTACTTACTTTTAAGCTGTTAGAACTGTTTGTTTTCAAACATCCATTTAGGTACAATTTTTATTTAACAATACATTTGAATGAAATCATTTTTAAGTAGTTTTTTTCCTGTATTTAGGGACAGTGTTAATGTTCAAACTAAGCAAAAGCCGGTATCCAATAAATAACTTTTTAAAGTTTTTTTTCATTCACGGGTGTATGTTCTTCACATGTTTTACAGTAATTTTTTTTTAGGTGGTACTTGGTGAATGAAGTTTGAGAACAATTACACTAGAGGGGATACCAAAATGTAATTCTCAATTACTGTCTTTGAACACTCTGAAGGGACAGTGCGGCTTGCTGCATCTCACCGTAGGCCTCATCCAGCGCACACCATATGTCTTGGCTGACCTCGGTCCGAGCTCGTTGAAGCCCAGAGAGGAGGCGCTGCAGGGGAAGAGGCTGTCCTCAAAGAGCTTCCCGCTGCGGAGACATTGTGCCCGCAAACTCTCATAGTCTTGACCCAGGAACTTGACGGCATTGTCGTTCTGGCCCAGCCCTTCCTCCCGGTCCCTCAGACTCCGCAGATGCACCGCCACACCTGTGGCACATATAGGCTCCACCATGTTGGGCGCGTGTGCGTGTGATTATGAAGTGTGTCAGGTTCTGATGTTGATCATGAACGGGTCAGAACCCGCCTGTCAGGATCTTTGGAATGTTGCACTGCCTCTGTAAGTAAACAAGAGAAGGAGATTAAAGACCATGCTCTAGTCAAGGATTTGTCGCTATTGGGGTCAGAAACAAATTTGCCGTATTACATGCAAAGTTCCTCAGCTTCTGGGCCAAACACCCAAGCTTATCAGTACCTACGCATGACGGCATCAGGGCCCCGCCGCCCTGCATGACTATGCAAACAATGAAGGCTTCCTGGTTCATCTCAGACACTCACAAGTGATTGTAATATTCAGTGTTATATTACACTCATAATGTGTCAACAAATACAAAGCATGTCAACAGAGCTGCAGAGATAAAAGGTCAGAGGTCAACTTTGACTTCTGGTGGTGGGCGTGACCTTGCATCCGGCTGTCAACGGCTGTGCGGGACACGAAAGAGCAGCTGCACCCAGACATGGTCACGTGACGACGTTCCCCACCCACGCAACACGACGAGACATTTGTGCCGTTGAAAAAAAAAGTTCTGGAAACTTGCGAGGAGTGCGGAAGTATTTGGAGTCAAGGAAAGGTTTGCAAGTAAAAGAGTGCAGAATTGGAACGTGTGTTACCTGCGCCCGTGCACGTTTCCTCTCGTTAGTTTGCGGCACTGAAGACAAGGACGTGTGTGAATAAAGACCAGAAGCAAACGCCCTCCTACCTTATTTTTCTTCTTTTTCCTTCTTCCTCCTCCCTTTCAGCCCCTTTATTCTCCCCTATACTTCCGTCCCCTCCGCCTTCTGCCTCTGCTGTGCTCGTTCGGGTCGATGGCGTGCGCATGCGCGGCAAGGAGGGGATAGTTGTGTTTTTTTGGGGGTTTGCTTTTGAGTTCGATAGCTCACCGCTGTAACCTCTTCAAGAATTAACTGAACCGCACACACGCATACGTGTATATTCTTACACAATCATTGAATAATGATAACAGTAATATCGATGCGTATGACAAAGACAAAAAAATAGGAAAATGTATTTCAAATACAATACAAAAACAGTTAAAACTGTGAGGAAAGAACATGTACTGTCGACACAAATATGTGACAATTACAAAACGTACAGCAAAGTCTAAAGGTACACTCGTTGCTTGTGTAGGACTGCATTCCCCAGAGGTAAGTGCTCCTTTTGCATTCCCGTCATGCATTGCGTCACAATGAAGCTTTTCCCCATGACACGCGCCGCCATTGTTGCATCCGCTGAAAGTTCAACATGGCCTCCGACGCGCCACCGGGAGCTGATGTGCACCCGTCCGATTTGGGGAGTGCTATCGCGGCCTTGAATTCTTGGAGCCACCCGCAGCTCCAGGCCAAGTTGGCCGAACTGGGCGCGCCCGTAATGGGTAAGAAAAGACCGTGGAAAACCCGTAGAAAGTCCGGTAGCGACGCCTGTGTTTAGCTGAATGTTGCTATGCTAACGATGATTGCTAGCTTGTAGCCCGTTTAGTGGTAAAACGAGATGACTTCTGTCCTTATTTACGATCTGTTGAACATGTTTAAACTCCTAAAAACAATCAACCTATTAATTTGACTTAGTTCAATGCCTATTTATTTATTTATTGCACAGTGAGCTTGTTATCGTTTCGCAAATTTAATCTTGGCATTTCTGCATTTGATGTTGTCTTTATTTGCCACCTAGGTCCAAGAGAAGAGTTGATTGACAGATTGAAAAATTACATGATCCAGGTAAACTCAGAGAGGCTTCTGTCCGCTGCTCTCTATTGTATATGTGTGCTCATGTGTTTTTGGACGCTCTTCCCTCTGCAGACCGGCATTCTGTTGGGAAAACCTCATGATGACAATGGAGTGGGCTCTCAGGTACACTTTTCACCTTAATTCTGAATGTTTCCATCGAAGTCTTGCCTATTCACTGTTATGTGACCTACACACCAGATGCCTCCCGGGATGGGGGGAATGCTGCACGCGTCGATGAGCATGATGCCCCCCGCCATGCACATGTCCATGGAAGGCTCTGGCATGCCGCCTCCAGGCTTGTCGCAGGATGACCAGCTGAAGATGGCTCAGCAGAGGGCAGCCATGATGATGCAGCAGGAGGAGCATGATTCCCGTGTCATGGAGGACCATGACCTTCTGGAGCAGCAAAACAGGGTAAGAGGAGGAGACGCAAACATATGATTGAAGAGCCGACGTGATGCCATATAACTTGTTCGAAACTTAGGCCGCCATGCTGTTGGAGCAGGAACGTCACCACGACATGGTCAGCATGCAGCACGGTCCGGTGGGCAGGGCGATGGCCCCCGTCACTGCAGTGCAAAGTATGTAGGTGAGCTTGTTCACCTTGGAATCGCTTCATTCCCTTATGGCCTGCCTGTGTGTCCATCAGTTGCTTTGGATCCTCATGGGGCGCTGCCGCCGGGCATCGCCATGCTGGCCGCCCAGCGACATAGATTGCCGCCGCCGCCTCCAGGGGAGGACAACAGGGAGGTGAGCAGCCTGATGGTAAACAACTGAGGAGCATCATGTTACACAATGTGATGTGTGATGTTCCATTCAAGCTCTGGCAGGGGGATGAGATCATTATTGGGGGGCCCAAGATCCCTCAGGCCCTGGAGAAGATCCTGCAACTGAAGGAGATCCGACAGGAGCAGCACGTGGACCCTGCAGGTTGATATCCTGTAGCTGCTCAACAATGGAAAGAGCTCTTTATTTGCCTGGGTTTATGTTGAAAATAGTCCTGTGTTTTTGACCGGCAGAAGCAGCAGAAGACGACGCCCACATGGGTGGCAGCAACTCTGCGCTGGGAGCGCTGGAGGCGGGAGACGATGAAGGCCGCATGTCCAAGAAGGATGTGAGTCTTTTTCCTTTCAAGAGGTCAGTGTCTTTGCTAGGCTAAGCTGTAATTTGAGTTCTTCCCCTCAGAAGAACCGCCGGCGCAGGAACCGCAAGAAGAAGAGCAAGAGCACGCGTGCTCAGGAGAAGAAGGAGCAGGGCGAGGGCAAGGAGGAAGGCAACGAGAAAGATGAGCAGCCAGAAGTGGAGATAGAGTATGTCACAGAGGAGCCAGACATATACGACTCCAGCTACATCATCTTCAAGCGCATCTTTGAGGCCTTCAAGGTGAGTCCATGTGATTGTCTGGCATCCAATGAAGTGTTTAATAATCGGGATGTTTTGTTTTTGTTTTTTTTAAAGATGATGCCAATTCCGATATGTGGCAGAAAATATTTTTGATGACCAATTAATCAGATGATAAAAAACAGATGTCAAAACGTATAATCATTGACTAAGTTGTGTTTCTTTAAAAAAAAAAAAAAAAAAAGTTTCCCCATCAAGAAGTGATTTTCTACAGACACACATATGCTGAAACTTAGCCAAACTTTCTCCTAATTGCCATTATGTTTGTTACACACTGATTATGCTGAAAAGGGCTAATATATAAAATCGGCTACCGATTAACTGGTCGGGCTCTCGTCAACAGAACATAATGAACAATCATTTGATTTACAGCTCACTGACGATCTGAAGAAGGAGAAGGAGAAAGAGCCCGAAAAGGCGGAAAAGCAGGAAATCGGCTTCCTGAGGAAGAAAGGCTTTGAGTTAGAGAGGAAAGACAGCGACGACAGCGATGAGGTTGGGCCATTGTCCTTTTGATGTCTGCACATTGTTTTGTTTCCACAGTGAAGATTGGCTGTGTTCAGAATCACTCCTGATACACAATATAGTACCCTAAATATTCAGACATCAAACCAAGAATTATTATTATTATTATTTATTTTTTTTTGCCCCAAACTTAACAGGAAGTCCGCCCCGATGTTCCCAAGCTGTCCAAGAAGAAGTTGAGGAGGATGAATCGTCTCACCGTGGCTGAGCTCAAGCAGGTAAGCCGTGCCACCTTACCTTCAGCCGGAGGCATGTCCGTGACCACAACCTGTGCTCCGCCCCCCCAGCTGGTAGCTCGCCCAGATGTGGTAGAGATGCACGACGTGACAGCACAGGAGCCCAAGCTGCTGGTGCACCTGAAGGCCACCCGGAACACAGTGCCGGTTCCTCGCCATTGGTGCTTCAAGCGCAAGTACCTTCAGGGCAAGAGGGGAATTGAGAAGCCACCGTTCCAGCTCCCAGAATTCATCAGGAGGACTGGCATCCAGGAAATGAGGGAGGCCCTGCAGGAGAAGGTAGGTTGGGCCAGACCACCATTGCTGGCTTTACAAATTTGGGTGTCATACGTGCTTTATGTGTTTAGCTGGAAGCTGAAATAAAATATGGAAAAAGTCTTGAGTTTTCACTATCCAAGTGTAGGCTCAAATCTAATATTTAACTTGTTTTCTGAAATGACATCTGTAATTTTTTTTCTTCTGCCAACTCAAAATGAACCGAATGATTGACACGCAGACGTTTACTGTGTCTTGCAGGAGGACGCCAAAACCATGAAAACCAAAATGAGGGAGAAAGTTCGTCCCAAGATGGGAAAGATTGACATCGACTATCAAAAACTTCACGACGCCTTCTTCAAGTGGCAGATCAAACCCAAGCTGACCATCCACGGAGACCTTTACTACGAGGTACTGACATTGGCGCCATGTGCTGCCTGTCAACATGGCTGACTGTGCGTATGTACAGGGTAAAGAGTTTGAGACCCGCCTGAAGGAGAAGAAGCCGGGCGACCTTTCCGAGGAGCTGCGCATCGCGCTGGGAATGCCGGTCGGCCCTGTAAGTCTCTGCCCCGTCGGCTCACTGTGGAAATGATGAGCACCTGTCATTGGCATTTGTTTGTCTCCTTTCCTAGAACTCCCACAAGGTTCCTCCCCCGTGGCTGATTGCCATGCAGAGGTATGGCCCCCCGCCGTCATACCCCAACCTCAAGATCCCTGGACTCAACTCACCCATTCCGGAGGTATCAAGCAGCATTACCAGAGGGGGCAAAAGTATTTGCACTCTGTTCAGTGGTGCCTTAAGATACGAGTGACCCGACTTGTGAGTTTTTAGAGATGGGAGCTGATTGGCTGATTTCACGCGTCACACAGTTACTTATAAACAAGCAGTTTGGCAGATAATCTAAGTGAGGGATTCTTCATAAATGAGGCTCCAAGCTTTTTACCGCCGCCACTCCTAGTTTACTGTCAAACCACACATACACTCAAAGTAAATGTACAAATAAATTGTTGCTGTCAAATATAGACAATACCAATTTTGATATCCTGCCATGAAAATATAAATATATTTATAGTGCTCATACTTGGAGCAAGTAAAAAAAACTTGCCCATGTTGGCTCACATTTTGTCTTCAAACGCGTTCCCATAGCTAATTATAACAACTGAAAAAAAATACAGCTTTATGGTGTTTTTTTAGATCAGACGATAATTTTTGAAGGCTGGTGTTCTGTTGGTTTTTTTTCGGCCTGCACAAAGACACACTTCATTGTTGTAGCTGACAGCATCAAACACTTTTGGAGATTATGAATAGCAGGGAATAGTTTGCTTCTTCAAATCTGTTTCATGATCGTTGTTATTTCCCCTGGTTCACTTTCCTCCATGTCACTGTTCTCACTGTTTTTTTTTTTCCTGCCTTATAAGACCCCAAGATCTCAAGTCAATCATGATTTGAACTGCAGTTGACTTCGCCTCGCTTTAACATTACGCTCTTATGTCGTCATCTGCAGGAATTTTAAAAAAGTGTATTTTGACAAAGTAGTAGGTAAAAAGTATGATGTCTGAAAATGTAGGAGTAAAAATTAAAGTGACGTGCTTTAGTGACGTACAGATACCTGACCTCCACTTCCTTCTCCTTTCCTTCAGAACTGCACTTTCGGTTACCATGCCGGCGGCTGGGGCAAGCCCCCCGTGGACGAGATGGGCAAGCCGCTTTACGGCGACGTGTTTGGGACCAACTCCGCTGACTTCCAGGTGAGTTGGCAGCCGCATCCAGCGCGAAGGCTCTCCTGTGAGTCGTGCGCTCAAATGTGCTGACTGATGCGGGCAGGCCAAAGCGGAGGAGGAAGAAGTAGACCGAACGCCGTGGGGAGAGCTGGAGCCTTCTGATGAGGAGTCTTCTGAAGAAGAGGAGGAGGAGGAAGAGAGCGATGAGGAGAAACCGGATGAGACAGGATTCTTCACACCAGCGGACAGGTAGGGAGCGGCGGGGTGACATTGTGCCTTACATTTACATTCGAAAAATCTCATTTTAACAAAGATGTCAGTGTGGATAAGGAACAAATTGTTGGTTTTACTTTTTTCCAGCGGGCTGATCACACCAGGAGGCTTCTCGTCCGTCCCCGCCGGCATGGAGACCCCTGAACTCATTGAGCTGAGAAAGAAGAAGATAGAGGAGGCAATGGACGGGTGAGAGACGTTTCCATCAGGTGTCCCTGTCTCTCGCTCTCTCTTTCTTAATCGAAGAAATTCTTCTGGCAGCAACGAGACGCCGCAGTTGTTCACCGTCCTTCCAGAGAGACGAACAGGCCCGGTGGGCGCCGCCATGATGGCCTCCACGCACATCTACGACATGTCAGCGGTGAGCCAGCGACCACATTTGCATACTTTCAACTTATTTCTTCACTTGTCTCCGGAGGTCTTACGTGTGCCTTTTGTGGCCGTCAGGCCATGGCAGGGCGCAAGGCCGGCATCGGTGATACTCACGGCGTGGAGGTGGCGCTGGCGCCCGACGAGTTGGAGCTGGACCCGATGGCCATGACTCAGAAGTACGAGGAACATGTGCGCGAGCAGCAGGCACAGGTGGAGAAGGAGGACTTCAGTGACATGGTGGCCGAGCACGCCGCCAAACAGAAGGTATGCACCCACATGGTCATGACAGTGACCATGATCATAGATTGAGTCTTTTGTTGTTTTGTTTTTTAACGTGCAATACAAAAAAATTAGCCCTATAAGTATGCCACTCTGCCGTCATTCTTCCGCTTTACCTTTACCAAACATAAATTATCCATTGAGAAGTGCAAGCCCACATACGTACTCATAATATATGTATCATTTTCACATACCTATAGTGCAGACAAAGACTTTTTATAAATACAGTCCCCCTACAAAGCCTATTTCTCTTCTGTCTATCTGTAAAACAGTGCATATATCCCTCTTCCCTCTACTATCTTGTGCCTTTTATTTTAATGATGATGCTGATTATGTCATGCCTCACAATGCCCTTGTGACCTCCAGCAAAAGAAGAGGAAGGCCCAACCACAGGACACACGAGGCGGTGCCAAGAAATACAAAGAGTTCAAGTTCTAAACACGACATTTTATTTCACAAGAAGACATTTTATTTCAGATTTTTTTCGTACATTGTGAGAACTCTGTGTGTTTTTTTTGTAAATAAATCCCATCAAACCAATGCTGTTTTTCCTGATGGTTTTTCAGTGTTCAGTCTGGGGCCACTCATAAGCATAATGGGGATCAAGTACAAACACACACACTGTGAGGTTTCTTCTTCAACTCTGGCCGCCTGCCTGCAAACAAGTGTACACTTGATGGACTTGGCGTCACCTGACATGTTTTAGTATGAAAGGTGACCCTGCTGGGATTATCTGTTAACCTCCTTTAATCGGCTCCTAATCACCTTCACAATGTAGAGAGTGGTTCAAATTCCTTGTGGGTGGCCACGCCCTCCAGATGACAGGAAGACGCGAGTTTTACAAAATTAATTACGAAATGATCATTCCGTTGTTTTTTTTTTTTTTTTTAACATGCAAAGCGTGTTTGCTAATGGTTTCATTGTGTACTGTATTGTATAAAGTGCTCAAAAGAAACGCCGAAGTAGGATTTCCAAAACGCGTTTTTTTTCAATGAACGGTAGGGGCACGTCGACTACGGTGGCGCGCACGTTCCCCACGCACGTACGTCTCACAGAGGGGCGCGCTCTCGGTGATTTCCGCTTCCTGCGTGCTTCTGGACTTACTCGACGACGTGCTCGCTACCTGGCGGCCATTAGCGCGCGCACACGTCGCCTTCGCCGAGTGCGGAAAGGCAAAACGCGGAGGAGGAAGCGGAGAGGACGGCGAGAGAGCCTCCTGCGAGCGCCAGCATGGAGCGAGGCTTAGGGGGGCTGCCTCAGCCCTCCAAGCCGGTCAGCATCTCATCGAACCGGCCGGTTCACATGAACTTATTCGCAACCTGGGAAGTGGACCGTTCTTCGCCCAGCTGCGTGCCCAGGTACGTTGAGGGGAAGCGGGCTGAGCTCATCGAGCGAGACGGTGGCGTTGTGGTCGTGGGGGTCACCTTTTGTTTACCTGACACATCCCTTCGTGTGCGTCAGCTGACCACAATCATCACTTGTAGCTCTGTTCTGGTGTTAACGTGCGTTGTATTCTCGTCCATGACATCATATGGCAACGACTAATTTCATCCTGGCGTGTATGCAACACACGGTCGTGTTCACTGCTGGTTGCAGCTTGTTGCCATGGCAACGCAGCCCTTAAAACCGAGGCGTCCAAGATGGCTGTCTTCAGTCTGTTTTTAAAGTCTGGTCTTTTTGCTTGTGTTGTTGTCGCAACACCCCCAACCACTTCCTGTTTATCAAGACGCTCGTGATGCTTTTCCAGGAAGTGATGTTGAACTAATGTTGTGTGATTGGTCTCCCCCCCTGGCAGGAAGCTAGAAGCTCTCATTGGCCTGAATGGCCTCTGACCTCAAGGTGGTCTTATGATGTGTCAGTTAACATCAAAACAACATAGGCAATACAGCAACCCCCTGCATATTTGTGGTTCGCCATTTCCAAATTTACCTCTACCCATACAGCATGTGGAGGTGGTCTCTAAAAGCTTGAAAGCTGTTGTCGCCCTTAGTGGGGTTAATTTTTAACTGCGATTGTCAGACCTATTTTCTTTCTTACTGCCTACTGTGTCAAAAAAATGTCATGCATTTTCAAACATGAAAAAAATGGTTTCTCTTGTAACTAAGCATGTCTTGATTTCACTCGGTGGGGAAAAAGGATCTTAAACAAGCACTACACCTTGTTTTTGAGAATTTGCGGATTGGTATTTAAAAAGTATTGTGTTGAAGTAATTCATCTCGATGATACAGTATGGGAAGAGCTCAGTTTAGCCACGGTCATTGGTAGAAGTTCTGGAGAATCCTCACTATATGTGTATGTTTTTGCTTTGCTGACAAACAACTCAGCTACTTATTTTAAATGGTAACCTTATAAAATGAGTTTAGTCAAACTATTGAGTTTTCCCTCTGACAAACAAACTCAAGACTCTAATCCACGGGTCACCAACCTTTTTGAAACCGAGAGCTACTTCTTGGGTAGTGATTAATGCAATGGGCAATTCATTATGAATCATGTGAAGACGCTGATCATGTTCTCAATAATTTCTCAATAATGTGGAAACAAATAAATGCCAGATGCAACACATTATTTTAAGGAATCTTTGCCATGGTTTACATTTTCAAATAATCACTTCAACAACGTTCCAAGACAATAATCTCCCATCACAGGCCTGCGGGCTACTCAGGTGGTCCTTGGGGCCTTCCTGTTGCCCGCGGACACCACGTTGGTTACCACTGGTTAATCAGCTACGATTCTGTGCCTTTTTCATCACTCCGCCCCTTTTCCCCTGCACGTGGTGGCGGGAATTACTGTAATATCTGTCTTGTGACATCATATGATCAGCTGACTTTTGCTGTGTGTGCTGCATCAGGCTCTTCAGCTTGACCCTGAAGAAGCTGGTCCTTCTCAAGGAGCTGGACAAAGACCTCACCTCGGTGGTCGTCGCCGTCAAACTGCAGGTGAGCGCTCACAGGTCACATGTGGGCGTGTGAACACTCGTTTCTTTCCCCGTAATAGATTAGGCCTTTTGGGCATACATAATTAGATAGGTGACTTGAGCTAGGCCTTGAGTATATCACTGTGACCCTTCTACTTGCTTCTATTTGGCTTTCCCTATCTATGGCACATTTTGGCACACATACTAGTTGAGTCCGGTTAAGACCGTGGAGGCACACATTGTTATGGTCTTCGTCAATAAGAACAGGAATCATTTTGGACTGGGCAGACCTTCATCCGCAACAAGCGATAAAGGCCTTGTACTCGATTTTTTCGGGCGTCTGTTAAATAGTTCAACTGAGAATTAATTTGCAGTCTTCTGGCAGTTAATGTTAGTATCGTACAGCGAGCATTAAAGCTAAATAGACCAGGGAAAATTCTCACAGGACTTTTTCCCTTTTCACCCGCCTGTTGTGTTCAGGGTTCCAAGCGGATCCTCCGCTCCAACGAGATCCTTCTGTCTTCGGCCGGCCTGACGGAGACCGACCTGCAGCTCACCTTCTCTCTGCAGGTAAACATCACACTGGCTCTCGCGTGCGCGCAGTCCTTTAGAACCGGGGTACTTGAGAAAACCCGTCATTATCCTGAAATGTGAATGTTTGCCTGTTTGCGTCCTCCGATTCGTCTTCTTGCCCGAAGTCACTGCTTTCCAAAACGCTGTTAGCTCAGCCGCCCTTGCCATTTGTGCAGTACCCTCACTTCCTGAAGAGGGACGCCAACAAGCTGCAGATCATGCTGCAACGCCGTAAGCGCTACAAGAACAGGACCATCCTGGGCTACAAGACCCTCGCCCTGGGCCTCATCAACATGGCCGAGGTACGTCGACATTGCCGCCGCTAGTTTGCAAGCGCTTGAAAAAACGGGACCGCGTGTCTCTCCTCTCCCAGGTGATGCAGCACCCGAGCGAGGGCGCTCAGGTTCTGGGCCTGCACAGCCAGCTGAAGGACGCCTCGCTACCCGTGGCCGAGATGCGCGTCTACTCGCTGTCCAGCCAGCCCATCGACCACGAGGGACCCAAGGCCAAGATGTCGGGTACAGCCTCCATAATGTCCATTGATTCCAACTTTTTGTTGCTAGATTTGACAACTTTTTAAGACTACCGCAGCAACCGTTTTTCCAGTTAGTCTTTTTCTGTCCAGACCGATCTCCAGACATAGACAACTACTCCGAGGAGGAAGAGGAGAGCTACTCATCTGAGCAGGAGGGCAGCGACGATCCCATCCACGGACAAGTAGGCGACACGTGTCTTGATTCTCAAACCTTTGGGAAGCACTTCCTTGTTTTCCCTGTCAGCTTGGTTGAGCATCTTTTAGCTTTCATCGACGTTTGTCAACCCGTTCTTTTTTAAGTACCTGTACGATGAAGATGAGGAAGTAAGGAAGAAGAAGCCCCGGCGGAAGCTGACGTCCAACGCCGCCATCACCAGGGTGAGCTCTTGAGCGCCTTGCACATCAACCGGTCATTTCGATCCTTCTCATTTTCTTCATCATCATCTGCATCGTGGCTTGCAGCAGCCAAATATCAAGCAGAAGTTTGTGGCCTTGCTGAAGAGGTTCAAAGTCACCGACGAGGTACGTCTGGATCCCGCGGAGGGGGCGTCGCGGTCTATGCCTCACCCGTGTCCCCTCGCTGTCGCGCCCAGGTGGGCTTCGGTTTGGAGCACGTGTCCAGGGAGCAGATCCAGGAAGTGGAGGAGGACCTGGATGAGCTCTACGATAGCCTGGAGATGTACAACCCGAGCGACAGCGGGCCTGACATGGAGGAGACCGACAGCATCATGAGCACGCCCAAACCCAAACTCAGGTAACAGCTCCTCTGTTGGACTATTAGAGTAATTAACCCCCGCATAAAAAAAAAGTGTATTTTTTATTATTATTTTTTTTCTTAGTAAGAAAAACAGCATTGTCTCGTATTTTATTTGATAAAAACATAGCATAATAACAATTAAATAAAATTTAAAGAATAAACAGTTTGTGCCTATGATTAAATTCTTCAATTCAATTCGTGCTGCTCCTTCTGGTATGCCCACATTGGCCATTGGGGGCAGTATTCTGCAGTCATGGAAACACATGAAAAATACAATTTCTAAGTGACTCAGTCGGTTGTTGTACTTTTACAGAGGACAAACAATATGCGTCGTACAAATATCTGTTTAAAGGGTTCTAACACCATGGCTATCGATGCTAAGTGTTGACCTGTTAATGGCGTGTTCCCTTATATGTAAGCACTAAGCTAAGTAGGGGGATTCTTAAGTTGTTTCAAACACAAAACATCTCTGCATCTTCACGATTTATTTTCGAGGGTAGTATTAAAAACATGATTGTAATGCAAATAGTGTACCCATAGCCACAAGGGGACAGTGTTAAATGCTCTTTGTGTGCAGGCCCTTCTTTGAGGGGATGTCTCAGTCTAGCTCCCAGACAGAGATCGGAAGTCTGAACAGCAAAGGCAGTTTGGGCCGGGATACTCTGAGCCCGGTACGTTAGCTTGCAGGTCTTCAGACTGAGGCTCTTTTTTGGGGTTTGTCTGCCTGTCATATGATGAGCACTGTTCCGTCAACAGGGGGAGCACCTTCCTACGGAGAAGATGAAAACATCCCACAGCCGCACCCTGGACGAGGCAATTTCAGAGAGCGAGACGCTGGTACGAAGTTCCTCGCGAGGGTTTCCGTATGTTTATCATGTGGCGTAATAATCTTTTTTTTTTTGCGTTGTTTCGCAATACTTCAGGATCTGTAGACTGTTAATTGCTCTTGGGCCTCCCCTAGTGGGTGCATGGCCCTAAATACAGTGGGTGCTGAGCTCGCTTAAGCCTTGGTGTTTCACGTGTACGCACGCAGGAAGGGGCAGATCAGGAGCTGCTCGCCGACACCGCGCCCTGCATCACGGTGTCCGTGCCGGAGAAACCTCGTACGCCCATGAAGACTGGCAAAAGTGAAAGCCAACCGGCGCCATCGCCACGGTAACCAGAAGGCCACCATCGTTGTATTGGGCCAGCTTTGTTGCACTGTCCAGCCTAACATACCTTTTCACCATCCGGTTACACTTACTTCCTGGTGGCTAAAGCTCAACTATTCTCAAAGTCGGTGATGCCGGTACGGCGTGAGAAAGTAACATGTTACTCTATTAGATACATTTTGTTGCAGTAATGACTATTCTAAATGATTACTTTTCTCAATGAAATAATCTGACGACAGTTACTTTGCAAGATTATAATTTGTTCCTGTGTAGCAATTGACAATGATGACAATTAGTTCACAGAAACTTACTGTCACCTCTCAATCTTTGACTATTTGGTTGTAGTGTTGTTAACTGACTCTTGGTTTGATCACACGTGAAGTAACAATGGAGGAAGGAGAGAGAATTCATGTTTTCAAGATGCAGTTCCAGTCAGTATTTTGAGTTTGTGTCAGCTAAAGAAAATATTACGTCACACTCCTCACTCTGTGCTGTTGACAAAGTGTAACTTCAAACCATGAACTGTATGTCCAAAAAAACAAAACATCCAACTAAAACATGAACATAAAGAGAAAGTCCCACAAGGTTTTGTGACTGTATGACGTCCCCAAAATTAATCATTATATTTATTTAAAAAAATGTACATTATAAAAATAGTCATAGGAATATTAACAGTTAATAGATAGGTCAAGCCAAAACAGACTGCCTTTAGAAAGCTATTTATGTTAAGTGAAGTCTAGAAAGACTTTATTTATTTTTTAAACCAAGTAGCTGGTTATGTGAAGTGGAATCCATCAAGGCTCATTTTTTAGAAAATAAAAATAATTGCTTATGTTAAGTTAAAAAAAAGTTTAAAAATTTTTATCCATCCATCCATTTTCCGAGCCGCTGTGCTGGAGCCTATCCCAACCTGAACTCTTTGTCAGCTAATCTCAGGGCACATATCGAACAACCATTCACACTCAACAGTCACACCTAAGGACAATTTAGAGTGTTCAGTTAACCTGCCGCACATGTTTTTTGGAATGTGGGAGGAAACTGGAGTACCCGAAGAAAACCCACGCAGGCACAGGGACAACATGCAAACTCCACACAGGAAGGCCTGAGCCTGGAATCGAACTGCAGACCTCTGCACTGTGAGGTGGATGCGCTAACCACTTGACCACCGTCTTTATTTTATTTTTAATTTAATAAGAAATTAGATTCTTATACGTCACTGTTAAAAATGTACTTAAGAGGTAAGTAATGGCATAAGCGCTTGTCAATTTTATTTCAAACGGGTGTTGTCGTCATCTGTTGAATTTAAGTAAAATAATCTGTAATCTAACTTTGTTACTTTTTAAACCAAGTTGTCAGTAAAGTAGCTAATTTTTAAAGTCATTAGTAAGGTAACTGAGTTCCTTTTTCAAGGTAACGGGGGCAACACTGCTCATCGTAAAGAAACCCTTCCAGTGTCATTAAGGACAAAAAGGGTAATTTAGCTTGAATGATTTTTAGAATTCATCTCTACTGCCGTCATTTGAATGTGTGAAGCGTCAGTCAAAAAGTAGATGCCTCGTACTCGATCACATTCTGTGACCCGACACCTATTGTTGACCAACACTAAGAAACAGTTTGTTGATATGCAGGTTGGACGGAGGCCACACCCCCTCCAGGCAGAAGCGCAGCGGCAGCACCCCCATCAAGTCCAAAGCGCCGAGTGAGCGCGCCAACAGCTCGGACTCGGAAAGGTCGCCCGAGCTGGGACACGGCACGCCGGTAAAACATGGTCGCCCGTTTCCGCCCTGCTTGTCTGCGCCCTATAAAGCAAGCGCTCACCTGTGCGCGTAGGTGCTGAGGAAGGCCATGTACGACCAGCTCAACCACATCCTGTTGGCTGACTCGGCCCTCCCGGAGAGTCTCATCCTGGTCAATGGCGGAGACTGGCAGGGGCAGGTAGGCCTGGCCCGCGCTACCGTCCACCGATGCGTTTGCGCCCACATTGTCATCTGAGTGTGTGCGTGCACGTGCGTTTCCTCCGTGTGTGTCAGTACGTACTGGAGCAGCTGCAGATGCACAAGCAGCCGGTGGTGTGCACCTGCTCGCCAGCGGAGATCCAGGCCGTCCTGTCTGCCATTCTCACGCGCATCCAAAAGTTGTGAGCACTTGTGTGGCACCACACATCTTGGATATGACTTGAAAAGAAAGTCAAAGGGTCACGGTTTTTATTTGTGTTGATCCACGCAGCTGCAACTGTAACGCTTCCATGCCACGCGCAGTGAAGGTGGCAGCTGTGGGCAGCCAGAGTTACCTGGCTGCAATCTTGCAATTCTTCGTGACTCAACTGGCCAACAAAACATCCGACTGGCTCAACCACATGCGCTTTCTTGTGGTTCCTCTGGGTATGCCGCAACGCTGGTGCTTGATAAGCTCCGCCCACCACATCTTATGACATCTTTGCATTCCCTCCTCAGGCTCCCATCCTGTCGCCAAGCATCTGGGCGCCCTGGACAACCGCTATAGCTCCTCCTTCCTGGATGGCGCTTGGCGAGACGTTTTCAGTCGGACCGAGCCTCCTCCCACAGGTAACGCATCTCCAGTGATGTCATCAATCTGGCATCTGTGTTGTCCAGACCAGATGTGTGTGTTAGTACAGATAATGTAAGTACAGATACTGAGTGCAAATATATCATGTGACTGAGCAAGATTGTATAACCTAAGATGCGACGTCATCTAGCAGCAGCCAATAAAAAAAGCGCTACTAGGCAACAACCGCCCGTGCGCGGCAAATGGCTTCTCTGCTTTGATGACTTTTATGACTTGACTTTAATGACTTGACTTTAATGACTTGACTGAGCCCAAAATGCGACGCTAGGTAACAACTCTCCTGCTTTACAGTAGTTCATATTGGGATAAATAAATAAATGCACAAAATAAAGCATTTAAAAAAAAATAAAACTAAGCTAAAAAAAACACTCGACAACGTATTAAAGCTAGCTAGATTCACAATACGGCACGATAATGACAATTCCCAAACTATGAAAACCCTTGAAGGTAAAGCCTTAAGACTTACTCATGACTCCCATGTATGTCCAGATCAACTGGATGTGGCGGGAAGGATCGCTCAGTACATAAGCGGCGCCACGCTCACTCACCAACTTCCCATCGCTGAGGCCATGTTGACCTGCAAACACAGGATGTGAGTAACGTGCCCACCCGCCTCCGGCGCCACTTCCTGTGTGCTCAGTAATGGCTGATGTCTCTCTGCAGGCGAGAGGAAGAATCCTACCAGAAGTTTATTCCCTTCATCGGTGTAAGCGCTTGCTAATTTTTTTTGCCCTCTGGCACACAGAGGCTAGCCCTTTGACTGACATCACTTCCTGTTTTGCAGGTGGTCAAGGTGGGCGTGATTGAGTCTGGGCCCTTGTTGGCTGGTGAGTAAAAACACTAGGATGGCCCCCTTTTGATGATGTCATAATCTCACTTCATTGTAAGTTTTTTTTTGTTTTTTTTTTTAATGGTTGTTAAGGCGACACAGAGGAGGGCGTTGCTGTGAGCTTGGCCGTCCCTTCCTCGTCCCCGCCATCCCATGGCTCCCCCGCAGGGATGATCAAGGAAGCGGCCACTCCCCCTTCGTCCCCATCCATGGGAAGCGTCGCCGTCCAGGGGTAAGAATCTTAGCGTAAGACCACGTCCATGCCTGCTGCTGCACAAACATGCTAACAAGCGACCGCTCGCTCCCAGGAGCCCCGGCATGTCACATGGCGTGGACGCCATCGGGCTGCAGGTGGACTACTGGCTGGCGTCGCTGGCCGAGAAGAGGCGAGAAGGAGAGCGGCGCGACACGGCCTGCAAGAACACGCTGAAGAGTGCCTTTCGCTCACTGCAGGTCAGCAGGCTGCCGAGTGGGGGCGCCGGCGGTGGAGGCGAGCCTCACGGCATTCAATTCAGTACAATGGCCATGACGGTGGTGACCAAGGAAAAGAACAAGAAAGGTGTGAGCAAAGTCAAAAGATTCCTGTCGTCTTTGGTTTTATTCTGCTCATGTTGTGTCTGTTGTCCCCAGTGGCCACCATCTTCCTGGGAAAGAAACCCAAAGAGAAGGAGGTGGACTCTAAGAGTCAGGTGATCGAAGGCATCAGTCGCCTCATCTGCTCGGCCAAGCAGCAGCAGACCATCCTAAAAGGTAATCATAACAAGCAGTGTATCATGTACTTTGAACATCACTATTTTGCATGCCGACTTTTTCTTCTCTTGCCCTTCAGTGTCTGTCGACGGTGTCGAGTGGAATGACGTCAAGTTCTTCCAGTTGGCCGCCCAGTGGCCTACTCACGTCAAATACCTTCCTGTCGGACTTTTCGGTTACAACAAGCCCCCCTCCTAGATGGCAGCGGTTGTCCAGTGGGCACCTTGGCTTGACCTTTGCCCCTCCTACACATGCACACACGTTGCGCTTTATGCAATCCAGACGAACCGTCACATTCCTTATGCTTTCCCTTATCACAACCGGGACCCTTATTGTGAGATTTTAAGTACTACAGTGTTCCCCCGCTAATGTGTGAGTTGACAACGCCCCAAAAAGCTTTATAATTGCTTACTGATGCCACAAGATGGTGGCAAAGCACTACTTTTCTGTTATGGACTAACTAAATGAAGATGGGATAAGTATTTTAAATAACATGTTTAAAAGAAAAAAAAAACAGTGAACAGGTTTATTATCAAATTGTGACTATGCAGGGGAACACTGTACATTAAAAGTGGCTATGTATGTGTAAGAATGTATCTTCCATCGCACAGAACAGGTTTGCCATGCCACTGTGTGTATATGTTGTATTGTGTGAACAAAAAATATGGCATCTTTGTTCCATCAAAACTTAAGGACACCAAGTAGGTGACTGTTTAAAAAAAAAAACATTAGTGATGTCTACATCTATGAAAGGCCATGTGGAAAATTCATGCAAAACAAAAGAAGTCGGTAAGTAGAAGGATGTTTTTTTTTGTGCGTTTTCTTGGTGCTGAAAAGTGTTCTCTGTGCTCAAGTCCACGTTTCTCGGTTTTGTTGTGTTGCTTGTAAATGGATCTACGTTGTGAGTGACGTGTGGAGAGATGTTTTGCACATGAGCCGTTGTCTCTTCAGCGTTTTGCCTCTAACAATAATAATGATGATGACGATGATTCGTCCCCATCCATGGGAAGCGTCGCCGTCCAGGGGTAAGAATCTTAGCGTAAGACCACGTCCATGCCTGCTGCTGCACAAACATGCTAACAAGCGACCGCTCGCTCCCAGGAGCCCCGGCATGTCACATGGCGTGGACGCCATCGGGCTGCAGGTGGACTACTGGCTGGCGGGCGCCGCAGAGGAGGGCGTTGCTGTGAGCTTGGCCGTCCCTTCCTCGTCCCCGCCATCCCATGGCTCCCCCGCAGGGATGATCAAGGAAGCGGCCACTCCCCCTTCGTCCCCATCCATGGGAAGCGTCGCCGTCCAGGGGTAAGAATCTTAGCGTAAGACCACGTCCATGCCTGCTGCTGCACAAACATGCTAACAAGCGACCGCTCGCTCCCAGGAGCCCCGGCATGTCACATGGCGTGGACGCCATCGGGCTGCAGGTGGACTACTGGCTGGCGTCGCTGGCCGAGAAGAGGCGAGAAGGAGAGCGGCGCTACACGGCCTGCAAGAACACGCTGAAGAGTGCCTTTCGCTCACTGCAGGTCAGCAGGCTGCCGAGTGGGGGCGCCGGCGGTGGAGGCGAGCCTCACGGCATTCAATTCAGTACAATGGCCATGACGGTGGTGACCAAGGAAAAGAACAAGAAAGGTGTGAGCAAAGTCAAAAGATTCCTGTCGTCTTTGGTTTTATTCTGCTCATGTTGTGTCTGTTGTCCCCAGTGGCCACCATCTTCCTGGGAAAGAAACCCAAAGAGAAGGAGGTGGACTCTAAGAGTCAGGTGATCGAAGGCATCAGTCGCCTCATCTGCTCGGCCAAGCAGCAGCAGACCATCCTAAAAGGTAATCATAACAAGCAGTGTATCATGTACTTTGAACATCACTATTTTGCATGCCGACTTTTTCTTCTCTTGCCCTTCAGTGTCTGTCGACGGTGTCGAGTGGAATGACGTCAAGTTCTTCCAGTTGGCCGCCCAGTGGCCTACTCACGTCAAATACCTTCCTGTCGGACTTTTCGGTTACAACAAGCCCCCCTCCTAGATGGCAGCGGTTGTCCAGTGGGCACCTTGGCTTGACCTTTGCCCCTCCTACACATGCACACACGTTGCGCTTTATGCAATCCAGACGAACCGTCACATTCCTTATGCTTTCCCTTATCACAACCGGGACCCTTATTGTGAGATTTTAAGTACTACAGTGTTCCCCCGCTAATGTGTGAGTTGACAACGCCCCAAAAAGCTTTATAATTGCTTACTGATGCCACAAGATGGTGGCAAAGCACTACTTTTCTGTTATGGACTAACTAAATGAAGATGGGATAAGTATTTTAAATAACATGTTTAAAAGAAAAAAAAAACAGTGAACAGGTTTATTATCAAATTGTGACTATGCAGGGGAACACTGTACATTAAAAGTGGCTATGTATGTGTAAGAATGTATCTTCCATCGCACAGAACAGGTTTGCCATGCCACTGTGTGTATATGTTGTATTGTGTGAACAAAAAATATGGCATCTTTGTTCCATCAAAACTTAAGGACACCAAGTAGGTGACTGTTTAAAAAAAAAAACATTAGTGATGTCTACATCTATGAAAGGCCATGTGGAAAATTCATGCAAAACAAAAGAAGTCGGTAAGTAGAAGGATGTTTTTTTTTGTGCGTTTTCTTGGTGCTGAAAAGTGTTCTCTGTGCTCAAGTCCACGTTTCTCGGTTTTGTTGTGTTGCTTGTAAATGGATCTACGTTGTGAGTGACGTGTGGAGAGATGTTTTGCACATGAGCCGTTGTCTCTTCAGCGTTTTGCCTCTAACAATAATAATGATGATGATGATGATGATGCTTGTACATATGTGACATTGTTTCATGTTTTGTAGGACTGCTTTTTCATGGATGCATTTGTCAAACACAAGTGAATGGAAAGTTCTCGTTTTGTTTTGTCAAATCAAAAAGATGGCACAGATGGCTATGGTGTCAACCTGTGTTTGTGCACTTTGTTTACATCACATACAGGTCATACAAAAATGTATACATGGAATATTATAAAGAATCAATGAAACCCCTCAAGAAAACCTGTGGATAGAAAAAGGCTTCCTGTATGGGAAAAAGGTATTTTAATTACTTTAAATCTGAATCAGCCTATTTGATCGATGCTATGTTTATTTATTAATTGATTTTTTTAAGTACTCTATAGTAAAAATAAATTGAAGCGAAGCGTAAACCAATCAGGGCTTTATGCGGAAATGACGTAAGGACACCAAACATGGCGTCTGATTCAAACGGCATTGCCCGAATGCAGCAGTAAGTTAAAACAAAAGATGCTTATATTGTACGTTTCACGAATCCGCGTGGTTTAGCATACTGGTCTAACACGAATTAGTTTTATTTAAAAATCTTCCATTTATTTAGGACTGCGGAATCCGCCTTGACATTCAATTATTCCATACGTTGTGAACATGAACATTACACGCTTGGCCGAATAAATGTGAGAGCATTCGGCGCTGTGTTTGTAGTGTATAAAAAAAGATGTTTGCTGTGGCTTCCGCCAGCTGTTGCTACTAAAAAGAAAATATCGAGTTGGCGTCCAAAGCAGTGCCTTTTGTTGTGTTGTGAATTAAATTGCCGGAAAGACAGCTTCCCCTATTGTCCAAAGATACAATTTAGTGGGTGATCCCATTTGTTTTTGCTGTTGCCCTGCTGTCAAGACAACCAAACAGCATCCTCACTCAACGCGGAAGTCCCTCACTGCCGATGTAACAGCAAGTTAGTCTTTTATTTTCCTTCTTCTTGCTGCCACGAACAACATTTTGGAACCATTCTTCAGGGTGGTGCCGCTGACATCCGAATAGCCATAATATGCAGGACAAGCCAAAGGAGCCAAGGAGGGCAACCGGCCAGGGAGTTGAGAAAGCGTAAGAAATGCTGAACACTGGCGGGCCACCAAGGTGATGCCAAATGCACCTCAGTCAGGTGGTCACGTCACATTATTTGTTTGGTTTTCTCCCCAGCAGCCCCAGGCATTATGCCCCCCAGCAGCCAGCGGGGGATGTGGCCAAGGAGGAACGAGTGGGGGACATAGTCAAACTGTCTTTTGACAACAAGCTGACGGGAAGGAGGAGGCTCCACCAGCTGGAGAAGGAAAAGCTGGAGATGATGTCCACACACAACCAGCAGGTCAGAGCACATCCTCTGCAAAATCATCATGTAGCCGACGCTGGCATCAACTCTATGTGGGTGTTTGTTTTACAGCTGTGCACTTTGGAGGCGGAACTTACCCGCCTCCGGGCCTCCGTGGAGAATGGGGAAGCTAAGAGGGCAGAGCTTCAGTACCAGGTGACTGTGAGCCGCAGAGATGCCCAGCAAGCATGTGAGAGCAACGAAGCACTCAAAGGTGCGGAAATCAGGGGTTCTCAAATTTTTGAACCCTCATAACAATCATATCAATTGTTGTCAGATCTCTCTCTCTCTCTCTCTCTCTCTCTCTCTCTCTCTCGACTGGATAATATGTGCTTTATATATAAATGTGTGTGTTTTCCAGAGCAAGCTGCATCACTGCGGAAGGTTCTGGACATGACCCAGCAGGCCAGACAGGAGGAACGACTCACTTTGCAGCAAGAAGTGGACGAGCGTGACGCACTGATTGATGGCTTGACTTCAGAGAGCGAACACCTACACAAACTCCTGCAGGCAGGCCTCACACACTCTCTCTCACACACACACACACACACACACACACACACACACACACACACACACACACTGAATACTGTGTTTGAAGTGTTTAATATTGTTTATGTGTCCAGCGTCAGAAAGAGGCACTGGAGGAGGCGCAGAGGAGGGTGATTGCGCTGCAGAAGGAGTGGGAGGAGGAGGTCCAGGTGAGCAGAAGAAGCGACACACACACAGACAGGGAGGCGGTGAAAAGAAGTTCCTCAGTGACCCATTTCTTTGCCGATAGGGCCACAAATCTCTGGAGGCCGACATGGAGGTCGAGCGAGCAGCACACCTGGAGTTCAAGCGCAAGTGTGAGGTCACACAGGTGAGATGGACACACCTAGTATTGACTAACCAACTAGTCAACTACTCTGGAGAGCACTACAACATGGTCACCTCGTGATATAAGGCATTGGGTAGTGGCTGGGAAGTGACTGAATACTTTGGTTTGCAGGCGGTGCTGGCAGTGGAGCGGCGTGGCCAGCAGGAGGCGCAGTGCAACCTGGAGCTACTGAGAGGAGAGCTCCGAGATGTGAAAAGATCTTACCAGGAGGAGAGAGAGAGCAACCAATTCACTGAGCAAGCTCTGCAGAGGTGATTGGACACACATACACACACACACACACACACACACAAAACTTGATTATTTCTTGACATATTTGTGTTGGTGTGTGTGTGTGTGTGTGTGTGTGTGTGTGTGTGTGTGTGTGGCGGTGGGGGGATAGCCTGAAGACAGAGTACAAGCAGTACAAGTGTGACCTGAGCATTGCCTTAGAGACAGAGAAAAGGAACACGGCTAACCTGGCTGAGAAGCTGGAGGAAGAGAAAAGGCAACATGGCAACACGCGCCTGCTTCTGGAACAGGTCTCGCATACATGCACACACACACACTTTGACAAATCTGTTCCTATTTGAAAATACAGTGAACTCCGCTGTAGCGAAAATGAGTGAGTAATTATTGCTCGCCCCCAAAAATATGTTTCCGATTGCCTATAGATGCCACAAGATGGCACAGCTAAATGAAACACCTCGTCTCACTTCTGACTTGACGATGTTCAGGTGCTGAAGAGAGAGATGCACTGTGAGAAACTCCTAGAAGAGATCAATCAGGCCCTCCAACAGCACACACATCAAGGTATCGCGAGAACGCTATCGCTTTAGGAAGCCACAGCCACCTGATTGTCAACTCATATTAGCAGAAGCAAAGGATGATGGGAAAAAGAGTCCTCCTGCCGACATAATGCAGCTGCTCCGTTTGACGCTCAGCAGACAGGAAGTAGCTGAGAAACAGGTGGATTTCCTTCACAATGAAGGCATGGTTTGTCTTGGCAGGTCAAGGATCTGCTGTTTGTAACTTAGAGAAGCTTGATAAAAAAAGCATTGTGTCTCCTTGGCAGGTCCAGGATTTGCTGTTGACGTGCGAGAGACTTGACGAGGAGAAACAGACACTCAAATGCGTGGCTGCGCATCAGAAGCAATGTCTCCAAGTAAACAAAGCTTCACTTCTGTGGCCGATGGGCCAGACACTTTGATTGAATTCTGTCCATACGCTATAGGAGGCTTGCCAGCTGTCACTCAAGTTGCAGGAGCAAGCAACTCGCTTGCAAGAAGAGAGCCGTGATTGGTCCGTGCAGAACGAAGAGCTTCAGAAACAGTCAAAGGTAAGACTGTAGACTGTAACTTAAATTTTTGTTTGTGTGTGTGTGTGTGTGTGTGTGTGTGTGTGTGTGTGTGTGTGTGCGTGTGTGTGTATTTTGCTCTGTGTTGTCTTCTGATGAGTTTTTTTAGTATATTTTCAGTTAAAAATATTTGATTGTTTATGTAAGATCTTTATGTGCAGCATTTTGTTTCAGCAGTTGCTGTTTTTGTTTTTTTTCCCCCCCAGATAAATAAAGGCGTTTGTGTGTGTCTTTGTGTATCAGGCCCACCTGTCCTTCCTGCATTGTGTGTATCAGCGCCTGATGGCGGGCTGTGTGCTCGCAGAGCCGCAAAGCATGCTGGGTACCTTCACCTGGTCAAACTTGTGTGACCTCATCAACGAGCTGGTGGGGCAGCTGACCTCTGACCTCCAGGAGGCCAACAACAAGGTGAGGCTGCCAAAATGTCATCACGTTTCAGGTTAGATCTTGCCCCCACCCAACACCTGCCTCGTCCCCCACGCAGGTGGCGTGTTTGCAGGCGGCGTGCGAGAAGAAGAGCGGGCACTTGCATCAGCTGCAGCGGCGTCACAAGCTCATGCTGGCGCATGTCCGAGAGCGCGGGAAGAGGCGGGCGGAGGCCTGGAACAGCCGACACACGCGCACTGTCGCTCAGCTGCGGGTAACTGGCATCACATATTATTCTTCTCTCGTAAATCACCACTTGATATTTTCTGTGAGGTTAACCACTCTATTTATTGCCACCTCCAGGATCTCCTCTTGCGGAGCCGCAGAAAGTCAGCCTCCTTCCTGTCAGCGTGTGCCCTCCTCGCCGGCACGATGGCGCACGCCCAGCGCCGCCTGAGCAGGCTCGCAGAGGAAAAACATATTTTGGGCTCACGCTTGGCGGCGAGGGAGGAGCTGGAGGAGGAGCTGCGGCGGCTGGCTTGCGCTTTGGGCGGAGACGGAGGGGAGAGAAAAACGCAGGGGTCGTCGGCCAGGAGGCGATGGCGGAAGTACATGTGCGTAGTATCGGCATTGAGGTGGTGGCGCGCCATTGGAAGGAGGAGCATGGAGTTGTTTCGGCTGGAAATGGGACAAGCGGGTCCAGTGGTGTGTGTCGCTTCGTCAACTCTGATGGGAGGAGAGGATGTTGAACATCGCGACGCACTGTGCGCTCGCTGGCTTCGCTCCAAACGTCTGTCCTCCACCATCTTGGCCTGCATGGCCGGCCTATCTCCTCCCGCCTGCTCCCCGACACACGTGAGGTCAGCAGCACGGTCTGGATTGGCTCGCCTCCTGAATCACATTGTCAGTCCATCGGAATCTGCCCCAGAAATCTTGCGTGAGATGATCCCACAGACTCTGCCCCCCAGCGACTTGAAGGTCTGATCTTTATTCGAATGAACCTTGAATCTCTTTGTCTGACCTCTCCTTGCATCCTCCCATTAGATGCTGGTGTCCCGCCTCCAACAGCACTTCCTGCTCCTCACCCAGCGGCTGCACTCAGCTGAGGTGGAGAGGCGGAGCCTGAGGCTGCAGGTGGCCCATCTGAGAAGAACTGAGTACAGCAGGGAGGACAACTGCAGAACGGTGAGAAAACATAAGCGCACACACACACACACACACACACACACACACACACACACACACACACACAAATAGGTGAAGATTACAGAATATTGGT